GGAGAGAGAGAGAGGGAGAGGGAGAGGGAGAGGGAGAGAGGGAGAGAGGGAGAGAGGGAGAGAAATCGAGAGAGAGAGGTTTTTGGCTTTGGTGTCACAGGCTGGCAGATATTATCTGCCCATCCACCCACTGGTCTGGAGCTGAGAAGAACCATGAGGAGCACAGACGGTGCCCAGTTTTCTGGCTGTCTGCAGGGAGCTACAAGTGTGAACAGGCTGTCCTCGACCCCTCACCCCAGCCCAGCCACAGCAGATCGCCACCAGCAACCTCCTTGTGACACGAGCGTGGGAACTGCCCAGCCAGAGTTGTGACCCCAAGATGGGCGCTGTCACACGCTGCTGTTTTAGGTCTCCAAGGTTAGAGGGGTTTGTACACAACACCAAGTAGGTAACCAGAAAACCAACACACACGTGATCGAATGCATTTTAAAGTGTGGGTTTGAAAACTTTTAAACATCTAGCTACCTAAAATGTGGCGGTTTGATAAAACCTACATATGAAATAATGAAGATAATGATTTTCAGTTTGATCAAAGTATTTAAACATTTGAAATTCAAGGCAGTATTTTAAAGTCACATGGAGGGGGGTTTTACTGATTAAATTGTTATAGTGGGTGATTAAAATCTGCTTTTCAGATCCCCAAATCTGCTGGTCTTTATTTCTTGCCAATCTCATTGCTGACAAAGCTATATAGAGAGTCACAAAATCGTCAAAATTTCTAAGACAAAAGAACCTATTACAAATAGATCCAGCCACATCTCAAGTATACATGTTTTGGTGGCTGCTTTTATAGGTTTCTATGTCACCCTTCTATCTGGAATCCCAGGGAGGAGATACATTAATTGTAGCTTTCTGAGCAGCTACTGATTTTATAAATCCGGTACATTCACCATTTGGTTGTACTGTGCACCACGCTGATTCACGCGGTCATTTCCCTCAGCGGAGTGATTTCTGCTTCTTCATTTTCACACGTGGCGTAGCAAAACAACAACAGAAGATGAAGGACAAACGT